AACTAAGAAGAAAAATTAAATTAAAAACTGAGTATGTTCTCTATATCTTGTGTGAGTTGTCAAGGATAAGTTGACAAGTAATGAGGGTCCTTGTTGTGCCCCCACAGAAACCTTTTCTGTTTTCCACCTTAGTTAGGAGAAGTTACCCTACATATGGTAAATAGACATTATGGTAGAGGTTAGCACCTTCCCTTTATGAAATCCTTTTTTCCCACCCTTTCAAAATCTTGTCCAGGGGTGAAGTCTCTCAACTAGACTCTACTGCATCTCTGGAAGTCAACCATTAGACCAGGAGCTGTCAGAAGAGTGAAGATGCTAAAAATATTCCATATCAAGATTGATAGGCAATGGTTAATCAATAGAAATTAAACAATTGGTTCTGTAAGCAAAGTAGTTTGCTGAAGACACAGAGAACAATGAAGAAAAGACAACAGACAAGTAGACAAAGATTACTGTTAGAGCAAATCCTCAACCTTTTAAGAGGACTTTTGTCAGTTAGATCAGGAGAAGTTGGGATTTGAACCTTGCTATTGTTTGATTAAAGTCTCTATTTACTGTTCCTCTGAGCATATCAAGTATCCCAGTAAGATCAGAGCACCCCCATGCAAACGGCTTGCAGGAGCAGAACAGTGTGTATAAACTGCAAACCCCCTGGGGTTCATTACAGACAAGCCAATATGGGGAGTACTCCTCAATGGTAGAATGTTTGAAAAGCATTGTACCACAATACTGTCTTGCAAATCTTGTAATGTTGCAGAGTTGATTCCAAAACTGCTTTTCTGTCTCACTGATCTTTAAAATATGCATATTAGGAAAGCTATTTGCTAGAATCCTATTCCCACCTGCCTTCCAATCTCTTCTATACACATTGGGGAAAAGAAAATCCTAATGTTAAGGTGTCTTTAGCTATATCTGGGCTCTGCTCTTTGAAAAGGTCTATCACATATTAGATGAAAGATGGATAACAAGAGAAACAATTTTAGATTTAATAGCATGTGAAGGAAATCAGAGCAGTGTGAAAAGTAAGCCAAGCTTTCAACAGGAAACTTCAAATTTATATATATGAAATTACAACACATCCCCAAGGAAATGAAGCTTCAAAAACACAATGCAGTTCTAATGGATGTCACTGCTGCCATCAGCTGATATAAAGGAAAAATTCATTACAATGCCACAAAATTGATCTTAGACAGGTGTATCTTTTTTTTTTGGGGTGGGGTTAGGCGATGGATGTTTTCCACAGGGATATTTCCTTAAAACACCAATTCTAGACTAATTTATTTCTGAATCCAGTTTGCTTCAATAGTGGTTCCGTCAAAAACCAGGGGAACACATGAATATACAAAAATATGAAATAGGAAAATGAAAAATACAATATTTCTCATCATGGATGAGATGGCAACTCAGCACAATGTTCAATGCAACAAAAAAGAGGTCAACTGCACACGTTTTTCTAAATTTCTGGAGCAATTTGTGAAACATTCATTTGGCCCAAAACAATGTTTCATGCAGAAAATAGCTGCAAGACTCCTGTTGTGTAATTGTAAATATGTAATCCACAACTGCACATTCACAACAGTTACTATCTGTGATCCCTATGCAGCCCCTAGGTTAGGGGTTACATAGGGCTTCTAAAACCCACTTACTGGTAAGTGTCTACTAGAACTTATGAGGTCTATTCCTCTTTCAATCAGAAAGCAACTGATAGCTTTCCCCACCCACCCAAACTTACATAAAAAATCTCTGGTGCAAGTGAGATTTGCAACTAGGGTCTTTTTTTCCACCCAACACACCAAACGTTGGTCTTTGGAAGGTTGGAATATTGGGCAACTACTTCTTGATCAATGGGAACAGACCCCTCTCTCTCCCCTCCCCATCCCACTGTCTGTTTATCAACACAATGGTTGTCTAAGATTCCAGTAAACGTTTTGTGCCCTCCCTCCATTCCAACTGCCACTGCTTTGGCCTTAGAGGAGGGGAAGAAGCAGCAGCCACAGCTCCACCATACCTAGGCCTAGAAGCTGACAAAATGCTCTTCCTCCCATCTAGTGCAGTGAGCCTTGACCACCGGGGTAATGAAGAAGAGACAGGCACAACTCCACCATGCCTAGACCCAGAAGCAGATGAAAGGCCTTCCACCCATCCATCCCAGTTGCCACTGCCCTGGCCTCAGAGAGAGGACATAATCTTTTTCCTTTTGTGTTATGTTTCATTAGATTGCAAGTCTCGGGGCAAAGAACTGTTGTTCTTTTATTTGTAATGTGCCATGTACAGTGATTGTGCCAAATAAACCAAATATGATAACAACAACTGCATTCTGTTCAATTTTTTAAGCCACAATGGAGTGAAGTGGGGATTGTACAAATTGTTTTTTACACACACACACACAAAACCTAAAATGTGAAAGATCATCAAATGAAATCTGTGGGAAGTCTCATAACTTTGCCAGCACTGAAAACACTTTGTTTTTAGTTGTTTTTAACTAGAATATGAAACAACTGAAGATTCACACCTTTAGTATCTGATGATGTATGATGTTTTAATCTTTTAGTACATAGAAAAACTCATGTTGAATCAAGACTCATAAGGACTATGAACTTTCTTTTGTCTCTGGTGGCACTGAAATTCACAAGATAACAGAACACCCATTCTATATATAAAGACGGAAGGGGGGAAATAGCAAATCATTCTCTTGCTTCCACAACCCATGAAACCTCTCAGCTTTTTTTAAAAACAAACCCCACACACCTTGAAGTTACTTTAATTTATCTCATGCATGCTTGACAAGACTGAGATATCTCTAATTATGCACACAGTCAAATTGTGCGTTGTAATTGATATTTAAACTATTTCATGTCAATACAATTTGTGCTCAACTGAATCATTCAGGTTTCAATTCCCTGTGTATAAACATGAAAAGGTATTTTGCTTGGTGTCTAAATGAAAATGTTTTCTCTGATGTTTCTCCTCCAGGTCTGCATTCATCTAGGGAGATTATTTTGGGAAGAAAGAAGTTGACTGAACCACACAGTAATGTGACTGCTGCCGCTTTGCTGATCATACTTCATCACATCATGAATTCAGATTCAATGTTTAAAAGAAAAGTGTTTTTAAAACTTCAGTACAAAACAGCTAAAGCAACTAAGGTAAGATCCCAAGACTGGCTGCTATAGCATTTCTATTGTGCAATTGCGGGTTAGTACCTTTAGGCTTTGTTTTCCATATAACAGAACAGCACAAATTCCTTCTGCTTGCCAAGCTAGGAAAAGACTGGTGGGCGCATGTGGCTCCTCAAATTTTGCAACAAGAGACCTTCCAATGAGAGTTCATAGCTCCCACAAGATTTCAGATCTCATAGCAATCCTAAAGCCCAAGGCAATCTTAAAAATTGTGCTGTTGCTGGGGAAAAGAAAAAGCAGTACCACACCAGTACCAATCCCTACAGATAAGTCCCTGACATTTTGTAAGGCCTGACTCCTGCATTTCAAATGCTCAGTGATTAGTCTATTGGGGGCATGGCTGGCACTTACTCTGAAGCATTCAGTAAATATGGGATTTGGGAGGGTCTTTATGGCCTCTATACGGGGTGGACTCCAAGACACCAAACACTGCATATCCTGCATAAAACAAGACAACTGGGAACCCTATTCTAGACAAAATGTAGCAAGACAGATTTGTTCTTCTTAACCTGAATTCTACTTAAACAAAGAGAAGTAAGCATCAAATTAAAAGTGACTTTTATCATGTAGTTGAGTGGTCTTCTGAAGGTGTTTTAATTTGCTTTGTTTTATTCTGTTTAAATTTATTTATTTAAGTGATTGGGAGTGGACAAGCCTTGCAGTTGGGGAATTCCTTTGATGGCCCCCAGAGAAGAGGCCAGACTGAAATTTTTATATTGGCACTGGTGGCAAGATACAGAGCAAACAGGCAGGGTTTACAGCCTGTTTCTTAAATTATTATTACTACTACTGCTGCTGCTATTATTATATTTATTCATACTCTACTTTATCAATCCTGCAGTAGACTTAAAGTGGCTTAACATTAAAAATCAGATTAAATTGATAAAAACATATAAAACCACAGCAGTCCCTGACATCATCTTAAAACCCTTCTTCTTCTTTTAAAACCTGCCTAAACGAAAAATTAGTTACAATCCAATCTATTACTGATCAGAGCTGCAGTGCCCCTCAACTCTTCACTTATGGCAGCCAGGGACTTTTGAAAGTAAGTTTTAGGAGTAAACAGGGGGCTGCCATGTAGCCTCACACCCCTCCCCCGGGAAAGCCTGAAACATGGGTGGGTGGAGACTGGAACCCTTTGTTGACTCACCTACCCCTGTTGAAGTGTGAGTTACACTGGTTGCTTCAGGGCCAGATAGAAATTTTCTCCCCTGTTAAAGGTTATTTTGCTTATCCTACACTATTTGCAAGCGATCTGGATAATTGGCTATCAGGTGGTGTTTGAATAGTTAGCCCCTGGCATGTAGTGAGGAAATATGTCATACTTGGCAAATACCTTGACACACCATTTGGGTATAAGATGGGCTTCTGAAATCCCTCTTTAGCTCACAGAACTGGGGAAGAGGGGAAGGAGGTGATCTCTAAGGCACACCTGAGACATACACCTTCAACCTTATCTCTTAGGACTTGGAAAGTAGAAAATCTTGATGCCTACTGACTGAGGGAGCAACTCCCCTGAGTGTTCATCTCAGGGCTCAGGTAGCTTTGCCCAATGAAAGTGGTGTTGGAGATGTAATGATAGGAGACCTCCTGTTACATCCTTCATTTGTGTATAGCTTTATGAGTTCACATTGTTTGAGCACTCAACAATGATATGCCTTTCAAGAGGTAGATGATTGTTATCAACCTCTTCTTCATGCTGTGATGAAGCAAAATATACATGCCAAATCTTGCTGGTCAGAAAATATATTGCAGAAATATCAGAAGAAGCACACCCACCAGAAACAAATGAAAAAGCCAGAATAATGTAAAAATCTTTACCAAATGGACAGTTGCATTTCAAGCCATTTGTGGTGTCTTCACAAGTTGCTCCATTCTGGCAAGGCTGGTCTACACAGCTCCCCACATTCTTGGCACAGGTTTCTCCTGAATTTGTAGGTACAGAAAAGATAGTCAGTCATCTTGACTTTTGCTATGTGTTTTTTTTAAGTCAAAGAAAAATATTTGTAAAGTAAAATCACTTTCTGAGCAGTTTAAATGGGTAACCCCAGGGCTTCAATGCTGAAAATATGAGTGATTTGGAGAAAATAGCATTATCAAAGACACCAGTACCTTTTTGCCCCAAAAACTGGATTAAAACTTATATTTCTTTTTTTAAACTTTAGTGTAGCTTCACAGTTTTGCTCTTCCTCTATCGTTTTTGTTCATTTTCTCAATTAACAAACTAAGAAATATATTTAAACTGCTGATTCACCTGTAACAAAAGTGGAAGGCACCTTTAGTACCCACATATTGCATGAATTCTTAATATTACAGGCCAGTTTGACTATTTGAATATTGTAGCTATTTTTAATATATTGTTGGGTGCTGAACTGGAAAAAAAAAACCACACAATTAAAATGGAATTCCATACACCATTCCTTCAAATATTTCATTACCAATTTCAGTGCTGATTTCATTCAGTCATATAATACAACATGAAAATATCAAAGCAAGTTGTGGAAAACTTGTACATAATGGAGCAAATCTGAAGTCATTTTGGGATTTAGAACATCAAAGTCCTATAAAACTAGCATACATCTTATTTTTTTATGATCCTCAGTTTTGGAGCCCTGTGATCTCTGCCACTTTTTATTGGAAAGGCAATTCAAGGAAATCCTTAAAACATCAAGTAAATCATAGCATTGAGAAACTATGCTTCCCAGATCCCTACTATAAATTATTTTAAATCTTTCTTTCCTTCATCCTGTAAAATGAGTATGAAGACTTGTGTGGAATGATCGAGTTAACCAAAATTCTCATTTCACTGATTCAAATGAATGCACTTTCCCACAGTGACTATCATTATGTATTAAGATTTGGAGTAGGATAAGAGTCATGAGATACCAAAGCCTGTTGTCAGCATGTAGATGAACAGAACACCCAGGAGGTGGGGTATTCTATGTTCCCCTGCCATTTTTTTCAACTGACTTAAAGGGCTGCAAAGCAGTTTCCCAAACAGAATCATGCAGAAGACTGAATATTTAGAATATAGGTAGAATATCTCTTACTTTTGAGGTGAGAAGTGTTTTGTGTTTGAGATTTTATTTATTTATTTTGGAATACCTGCATTTACATAATGAGATATCTTGGAGCTGGGAACCAAGTCTAGACATGGAATTCCTTTATGTTTCAAACACACCTTATATATCTAGCCCAATATTTTATAAAATATTTTATACACAATATTTTAATAATTTTGTGCATGAAACAAAATTTGTGTACAATGAGCCATCACAAAGCAAAGGTGTCAATTTCTCAGCCACCCATGTGGACAAAATTCAGATTTTGGAGCATTTCTGATTTTGGGATTATAGATAACAAGTACTCAACATTTACTATAGTAAATGCAATTTCCATTGCATTGTGCATCATACAGAATATTCTCTTATTTGGATTCAAATCCCTTTGGGTATATTGTAAATTGAGTCTCCAGCTTTACCATACCATACCATACACCATACCATACACCATACCATACACCATACCATACACCATACCATACACCATACCATACCGCTTTAGGTTGGGAAATGACCATTATTATATATTTAAATGGAATGGAAATGACCATTATTATATATTACAATGGAATAGTGCATGCATCCACAATTGAATCTCACCCTCTGCCTCTCCAGCTGCTTTATAAACCACAGTCGATTTAGATGGATTGACTCTCCCTCATCTCAATCACTGATATTTCAATAACCCACAATGGAACATTTGAAGCATATGGGTTCCACAGATAAACTTTATGAAGTAATTGGGGGCTACTCCAGTACAAACTATGGAATCCTGAATTATCTTGGTCAATAGTTTTCAATATTTTCTGGCAATGTTCTCAAATTTAGGTTTTGCCCATTGAAGCTGCCTGAGATCCTCTCAGCATGAAATACCATGGCAGTTGAGATCTTCTACATGCAATAGCTATTTTCTCCCAATAGCCACAGCCTATGGCTTACAAGAAGGGCCTAAAGTACTGCTTTGAATTCTCATCTCCTGAGATATGGTCCCAGCATATTATTGATGTCTCTTACAGACTATGTTTTTTCTTCTTCTTCTGCAAAACATCACACATACTTTCCCAGTCATAGGGGATGTAGGGTGGGAAGAAGGTTTGGCTAGCATATGCAATTTAGTTTTGAGTGGTGTTATACACAAGTGGTTTGAGTAGCTTGTTACAAAATGTTTGCCTACCTGGGGATGATGTAATTTTAGCAGATGATGTAATTATTTCACACCTGGCTGCAGAACACAACCGACACATCTCTGATCCATTACTCTTCTCACTAATCATGGATTGGCCATATGGGAGTTGGCTTCATACTGCTTAGTGTTAGCCTTGCTTTTCACATTACTTATGTATGTATGCATATAAATTGACATAGATCTTAACTTTCTTTCTTCAATGGAATAGAGGGCTCATCCGGACAGTCTCAAATTCTGAGAGAAACTGAGATTTCAAATCCCAATTCTTCTTGGGATTCAGACCTCACAGCACCCCCAAACCCCAGGATTTTGCTGGGATTGGTGGTGGTGGCTACATTCCCTCCCAGGTCAATCAGATGCAGCAGAAGCTTTCCCCAAGGGGCCTGAGGATGCAGCTGGGCCTCTCCAGTAAGTTTAGAGGAGAAGCAGGGAGCTGGGGGCTGGGTAGATGCCCTTCTGTGCTGACTTCTGGATTTCCTCCTTCCCTCTCTGAAGCTCCCAGTGCATCTTTTTGATGCATCAGGAGTTTTCTCTGAAGATCCCGAGGATGCAGCCAGCCCCATCCAGTAAGATTAGAGAGACAATGGGGGACTGGGAGGGGAGGGTGGGGGGTTGGGAGGGGAGGGTGGGGGTTGCCATTTCCCTCCTTTGGGCTCTTAGAGCCCGAAGATCTGGAAAGGCAATGGGGATTAACCCCCAGGATCATGGGTGGTCCCAAGATTCAATGCCTGCAGACACAACACCTGGAAGGATCCAGGCATTACAGTAAGGTTCTGAATTTTCCAGAGGCTTTTAAAATCCTGAGTAAACTGGATTGAGGACTTTCTGCCTCCCCTTCCCACTGTAGCTCACTGAACTGGTCTTGAGAAAACCTCTGTGTTTGTGTGTGCTGCTTTATGAGAGCAGCTGTGTCTAAAGTTTTTTCTGTCATTAGAGGCAGAAGGAAAAGTTGTGCATAGGACAAAGGGGAGGAAGAAGGGCTTAAAGGGTCTCCCAAAGACAAAAGTGTCCCAATCTTGGAGACCGTAATTATAATCTGCTTTATATAATTCAATATCAGAAAACTGCATTGAGAATAAGCTCATTAATGCTCGAAGACTACACCAGCAACCTGTTTGGATCCAGCTAGATTTTTTTAGCCTCCAGAAGAGCAGTTATGTACTTTCCTTATTCTAAAAGAAAGACCAGGTATGCTGCTCAGAAACTATTTGTAGGCTGGCTACTTCAACAAAGAGAGTAAATTCCATAATATAATTCAAGGTGTTCTTTTCTCCTGCTGTGGTCAGAAGGGGAAAGATATAATTGAATGTCAGAAATGTACCAGAAATTGGACAATATCCCAGAATTACAAACCATGCAGGGATTCTACATAAATAAAATTACTTTTGCCACCAAGACACTAATTAAAATCTTTCAATAAGAGTGTGCTACCCTTCTGTAATACAATATTTTGTACATTATCTAGCATTATAATAATAGAATGTAGCACTTTAATGCAATTTATTTGTATCTCTCAATTTGTTTCAAGGGAGCTCTATGTTGTAAGGCAGTGTTTTACTGGGTAGTAAAGATACCACCCAGCATCTCTCTCACACACACGCTTATATGGCATCTCGATAAAATCCCATCACATTGCACTCAACTGTATCAAATCATGCAGTGTTTTAGTCTCAACTGTGTAATGAAAATGTATTATGTTGGTATTGTTTGTTTGCGGTATATTTGAGGCGTGATTTTCCCCCATTGGTTTTGCTCAGCCACTTAACTGCTGCTTCTAAATGGTATATTTTAGGCCAAGTTTGCTAAACTCTGTGCAGTGCTCTGTTTGGTGTAAACATGGATTTATTTATTTTTTCTTAAACCTATCGATGAATGGTGTTCTTAGCTGCTTCAATAATTTCACTGTTTTTAACCAGATATGCTCTACTACATTTTTGGTCTAGATGTCGTTTAGACTTAAGTTGAAAAATACTATGCTGAAGATACTCTGCATCAAAAGCCACTACAGCAAGGACTTTAAAAAAACCCTGCATATATTTTTTTATCTCAGAAAAACAATACAGATGTATGGTGGGGGAGCATTTATCTCAAATGCATTAGTAAGTGAAATACGGGGAGTCCCTGAATTACAAACATCTGATTTACAAATGAGTGAGAGGAGTGAGACAACAAGAAGTGAGAGAAATCTAACCCTAGGAAAGGAAATTAATTCCTGAAAGAGTTATGATGGAGGTGTCTCCACTGAAGCTTTTTTAACAATTTTTTTTCCACAAAAGCCAAAATTTTCAAAATCCAATTATCACGGGGACAAAAAATGAGGTGAAATCTTCTGAACAAGGGCACAGAACAAAACAAACACCACAGAGGTGTTAACCCTTCTGTATGCTATCCAAATCATTCATGTGTGTGTGTGTGTGTATGGTAAAGGTAAAGGTTTAAAGGTTTTCCCCTGACATGAAGTCCAGTCGTGCCCGACTCTGGGGTGTGGTGCTCATCTCCATTTCTGAACTGAAAAGCTGGCATTGTCTGTAGACATCTCCAAGTTCATGTGGCCAGCATGACTGCATGGAGCACCATTACCTTCCCACCAGAGTGGTACCTATTGATCTATTCACATTTGCATGTTTTCAAACTGCTAGGTTGGCAGAAGCTGGGGCTGACAGTGAAAGCTCATGCCGCTCCCCGGGTTCGAACCTGCGACCTTTCGGTCAACAAACTCAGCAGCTCAGCATAGATGTTCCGACTGACAAAGAAATTAAACTTAAGAACAAACCTAAAGAATCCATCTTGTTTGTAACTTGGGGACTGCCTGTATACTATTATATTTTAGAAATATGAGTATGTCACTCTAGAGCACTGGTGATGAACCAATGGCATTCATGGCACAAAGCATTGCCCCCTGCCCCGGCTTACTTCCCTATCCACCAGCTGGCTGCCACCCACCCCTACTTGTCAACCCCCGCTCCCCCCACTCACCATTCCTGCTTATCCTCTCTGCTGCACCCCGTGCTCCCCCTGAGTTCCCACCTTCCCTCACACACAGTTTGGGCACTCCATCTCTAAAAGGGTCAACATCACTGCTCTAGAGAAATACTATTATTTGATTTTTGAAAAGCAGATTACAGGAGCTGTCTTCATAGACCTGTCAGCAGCAAATGACACTGTACAACATAGTCTTCTCATGAGAAAATCTTATAATATCACAAAGGACTACCACTTTGCTCACTTCATAGGAAATGTGCTACAAAACAGGAGCTTTTTGCTTCAGGGCCAGAGAAGCAGATGGTGAAAACAGAAAAACAGCCTGCCTCAGGAGAGCGTGCTTGCTCCATCAGTGTTTAACATTTACACAACTGATCAGCCACTGTAAGAAGAGACAGAGAGTTTCATCTATATTGACAATTGTGCCCTCACCATTCAAGCAGAGAGCTTTGAAATGACTGAACAGAAGCTCTCTGAAACTTTAGGTGCTCTTACTGCCTATTACAGGGCAACCAGCTGACTCCTAATCCATCTAAAATGCAGACATGTGCTTTTCATCTTAAGAACAGACAAGGATCTCGAGCTTTGAGGATTACCTGTGAAGGAATCCCACTGGAGCACTGCAGCACACCTAAATACATGGGAGTCACTCTGGACTGTGCTCTGACTTATAAGAAGCACTGCTTAAATATCAAGCAAAAAGTGGGTGCTAGAAATAATACTATACGAAAACTAACTGGCACAGCCTGGTAATCACAATCAGAGACAGTGAAGTCATCTGCTGCACTTTGCTACTCTACTACTGCATATGTATGCCCAGTGTGGAATATATTGCACCATGTTAAAACAGTGGATTTGGCTCTCAATGAGACATGCCACATTATCACAGGATGTCTATGCTCTGCACCACTGGAGAAATTATACTGTTTACCTGGTATTGCACTATCTGACATCTGTTGGGAAGTAGCAGCCAATAATGAAGGAACAAGGCAGTGACATATCCGGCCCATCCTCTGTTCTGATATCAGCCAGCATGCCAACATCTTAAATCAAGAAAGATACTCACAAGAGATACTCACAGGAACACCTTAGCAAGCGAGACTCCAAAAGTGGCAGGTTAAAACCCAACACCTTAATCAGTGGCTGGGACTGGATGAGAAACTTGCTCCTGGGCACACATAAGACTGGGTGACCTGGAAGGTGCTGAACAGGCTGCACTATGACACCATGAGATGCAGAGCTAACCTTAAGAAATGGGGCTACAAAGTGGGGAACACAACATGTGAATGTGGAAAAGAGCAAACTACAGACTGCTTACTACAATGCAACTTGAGCCTTGCCACATGCACAATAGAGGACCTTCTCACAGTGACACCAGAGGCACTCCAAGTGGACAGCTTCTGGTCAAAGGACATTGTGCCATCGCTGCCTGGGAATCTATAGTTCTTAGTAAAAAAAAATGACGTGGCAACTATTTCCCAGGGGATTGCATCTTGCTTTCCTTTAGGGAAACTGGAACTCCCGAGGATCAACAAAACACCATAGGTAATTTGAAATAGGCTTTATTGTTCAAAGAGTTATCTTTCTGAGATAAAATGGAGGTAAAGAAAAATACATAACAGTCTTTGGTTGTCTTTGTGCCCAAGGAGTCTTTTAGCTGAGAAGCCTTCCAAGTTCCCTCTCTCTCAATGGCTATGAGGTCAAAACACTCACAACCCCAAGTCCCAATGGCTTATATTTGAAGGACAAGGCCTTCCTCTGGTGCCAAAGGAAATTGTATGAAGGCGCCTGAGACTTCCCAATGTCGTTCAGGTTGGTCTGAACATAAAGTATAAGTCTCAGGGGTAAAAAACCTAAGAATTGATGGTAAGAAATGACTTGACCAGGGGCTTTGGGCCAAGCTTTACACACGTCCATCTAATGAGCCTTTTTTGTGAGGTAAAAAAGGTGAGAGAGAGATACCTTTCTTTCTCCCTTGGAAAGGGCGGAGCCTAAACAAATGAGCTGGGGAAGCAAGCCAATTGGTGTACAACAACATAGATTGACAGATGTAAATAACCAATGAAATTCAACTATACATATGCAAGGTAGATAGGCATAATACAACAGTTTAAATTTTGCAACTAACAATTCTACATATAGGTGGATAAATCATAATTGTATGGCATAATAAATTTCAGAGAAAAAAACATATTGGTCCAATCTATTTAATGGGGAAGGAGTGGAACACATGGACTTGTATTCCAACAGAGATCATGCCTAAAAATAAGTAATAATACATATGTTTTAACATCATCATATCATAAATAATAAAATCGTAGACAAATGATTTTCGGAACCAATGATCCTAGCCTAAATGACAGAAAAGAGTCCTCTTACTGTAATACATTTCAGGACAGTTAATCCTTAAAGTAGCCACAAGATTACAAATTGAGGTAGAAGAAAAAAATGTACAGCATTTCAGTGAACATTAAAGTTTCATTGGTATTGAAAATCTCATACTAAGGCAAATTAAGAAAAATGCCTAATTAAAAATAATGACAATCTGAGCTTAAGTGAAGAAGAAATGGACTATGAAATGTGCCAAGTAAAAGGTGAACACTAAAACTTGCCTTTGAAGCCTGCGGCACACTGACATGAGAAGTGACCAATTAAATCCAAACAGGTGGCCCCATTTTTGCAGGGTGAACTTGAGCATTCATTAGCCTCTACTTCACAGAATGGTCCTTCATAGCCAAGCCTACATTGGCAGGTGTAATTATTCAAATTCGGCAGACAAAAGCCATGGTCTGAGCAGCGATTTTGAAAGCAAGGGTCTAAGACACGTTCGCAAAATGTACCAGAATAACCTGGAGGACACAGGCACCTGAAAGACACAAGAAGATAAATTATCCACAAAGCCATCTAATTCTGCAGAGAAGTCGTCATTGTGATCATTATTACTCGATCCACGTTCTTCTTCAAAATAATGCAAGCTTGTGACTGTACTGATTTATATAGTTAATTGAACATCAATGTAATAGAAGAATGTACCATTTCGCAAATTAAATGCAAGTCAGTATATTGTACAATGTCATTTGGATAGCCACCATCAGAATGAAATTTTTGCAAAATTTTTTTTGCAGAATGAAATCTTTGCAAATAAGGACAATGGATTTTTCAGGTAATATTCATCATGGAATAACTCACTTCCTGTGTCAATACAGGAATATGCTGTGATATATGTCTACCACTTGAAGCCTCATTGACACAAAAATTATGCTTCATAGGGATGTTTGAAAAAGCAGAAATCCATTATGTTTTTGTTTTTAATTTCAGGTCATTGTCATACTACCCCCCCCCCCCAAATTCTGTTTTCAGGAAGATTCTGGGAGATCAGGAGGAGGGCTGTCGGACTCCTAATTTGGAACCCTGAGTTCCATTTTCACTTTGGTAAGATTCAGTACATTAGCACCACTGGGGGAACTTGCAAGGCTCACCATTCCATCATTTCTGGGATTTTGAAATCTAAGATAGCATGCATCACAAGAGGGGAGGGGAATGGACAGAACCAGTACTGTGATTGACTGAGAAACATGATGCAGCTGGCTGCGTTCAGGGACATTTTTTTTTTTTGGGGGGGACACTCATTTTCCATTTTTTCCATCATTTTCAATTCCATTTTCCATCATTTTTAGAGCTATCAGGATAAAACTTGCAATTCTTGAGGAAGACATTAGCAACAGTAAGCCCACTGATTTTTGGGATTTTTTTTAAAAAAAAATTAGCAATAACATTTTTTTAAAAAAACAAAAAAACAAAAATGATATCCCCTGGAATTTTTCCAGTGACAGAACACAAGTAGGGCATCTTTCTGTCAAGTTTCAGAAATATCTGCTCATCTTGCAGGAAAAATAGGGAATTCTGGGACTTGAACTCCAAGACAATGGAAAGGAAAACCAGCCTGTAATTGGCTGAGGCAGACCACATAATACAGCAAATATGATTGTGCTCAGTCCCATTGCCCCTATGCAGCTTTAACTATGGAAAAAATGGTCAGAATATAAACAAACCTAATGAACTTTTCCTGGAATGAGGGGCTGGGGCACTGTCTCATTCTATTTTGGTCTTCCAGAATTTTGTTTCAGCAGTTCATATCTAAGAATCACCGAATGTTGTCAAAATCAGAATCGACTGCTGGAATTTCACACGTTCCTAGTGCTTCATTCCACCATAACTCTAAAACTTGACTCTGACTTTATTAACTCACAGACAGTTTCTTGACTGAACAAAATGTGCATTTCTGTGCATCTTGTGGAATGGTTTTATGTTGTTTCAAATAATCTTTTTACTTGTGGGATCTTTAGGGTAGGCCACAAATACTTTTATGAATAAGCATTCTTTCTTGGAGGATTATGTTCCTGGAGAAGACAGAGTATTGGGGAAGAGAGCTGATGGAGGGAAGTGCTTCTGCATTAAGGTGAAAATTTAAACTGAGATGTTTCCTTCCAACTCTCTTCCTCATTGTCTCACATTCACTCATGTTTTTTTTCTTTCTTTCTTGTAGAACATGCATGTATATCAATCTTCAGTATGAATCTTTCATTAATATACCACATAGTAGCAACTTTCTTGGCATTGCTGAAGTAATCCAGAATTTATGCAAAATGTAACAAAAGTCTCTCTGAAAAGAGCAGAAATCAATTATTCATTAAACCAGTGGGTACTCTTGCTCATCTCCATGATAATCAGCATGGCTGGGAGTGATCAGCCATGAATCTTATTCCAAAATATGTACGCATATGGTTTAAAACCATTTTAACCTTCTTTATCTGTGTTTAGTTTGTCAACATGTTTATTTTCAGTCAATTCAAATTATTTTTATTGCTTGGAATACTTTCCATTTATTCAGTGTTGCTTTACTTGTATACCACCTTAGCTCTTGCAGTACATGGTGGAATATAAATATTTAACAAGACGATGATGGATACCTTATTTCTGGTTCCTTCTTTATCCTTTCTAGCCTGAGGAAGAGTACAAATACATTAAACAAACAAAGAAACAAACATTGGCCTAAATTATCCCCCTGATTGTGAAACATTTGCCCAGCCAATCTGTTAAATGTAGATGATTGCTTTGTCAAATATGCACTAGCTACTAATTATTTCCTGTATGTAAAATGTGATTAGGAGGAAGCATTATAAACAGCAGGTTCCCCGTACCTCACGTGACTGGAAATTGCTGGCATATGCATTCCCTCTTGTAATTAACATTTACTCTGTATAATCTGCCATCTAAAAGTACTGAAACAGTCTTTGTTCAACTGTTTTTTTGTCTAAACATACAATGATACAAACAGTGCTATTTTAATCACACTGATACAAAAATGAGAATTAATTTGCTTTAAATGACATGCCTCTGATGCTAATGAGTTCACTTGAGAAAATATATTTTGATAAAGAAATCTGTTTTCAGTGTCTTTCAACCGTCAACAGCCTAGGAGATTATCCTGAGCTCAATATCAGTCTTAACTTAATGTATTAGGGTTCATGGACTAGTCAAATGGACTAAGTCAAATATTTATTTAGCTGACTAAGAAAGGTAGAAGAGTAAACTTTGGGCTAATATGTGTACCCTGATCTTCAGAATATTACCCCAAAAAGCAATAATCTGCATAATAGAATATAATGTAACCTTGTTAAATAACATATTTAGATCCCCTCCTTCAGTTTAACCCTTAAGCTTGCAATTCCACAATAAACATTTCAATTGTACTCAGAGCAGGATATTGGCATGTTTACATGGAATGAAAGTAAACTATTTTGAAGCAGTCCCCATAAGCACCTGTCTTTGTGTACTTGATGACTGAATCTTTAGCAAAGAGCATATAATCAAGATGTTGTCTTTAAGAGATTATTAAATTAATCATGGAGAAAATGTGGGAACATGAATTTATCTGTCATGGGCATTGCTGATTTTTATCTTCAGGGATATTTGTAGAACAGTGTTGTCAACTACTTTTCCATTGTATCCCTGGATCTTACAAGCATCCCCCAAGGGTTCTGCAAAATGTTGTCATTGTTCATTAACTTTTCTACCAGTTTAGTTTATTTATTTGATGTCTTTGTAAAGAAGGCAGGAGAAGGAATTGGAATTCTCCTGTTTTCAGAACAACATGTTCCAGGGCTTCTCAGAGAGAAAATGGATTGCAAATCAAGGATTGTTCAATCTGGAATGAAATTGATACTTTGAGTGTTTTGAGTCAAATGTTCAATTTGAAGTTTTTTGGAAAGCATATATTACCAACATTGAAACCACCATCTTTCCCCAGTATACAGACTGATGAGACTGGGTTATAGAAAAATATTAATGTAGTTCCTCATGTTCATTTTGACTCTGTGCTAAGCTGCACTATTCTGATGTTTTGGGCTAAATAGTACATTCAATAGTATTTTGAACGTTTTTGTATTAAATATTGCTTGGAAGGACACTGAAAGATCTTTAACTCTATGTAAAAGATATATATATATATATATATATATATATATATATATATATATATGATATATCAAGTGACTAGACACCCACTTTTCTTAGGGAAATAGTCATGTTGGTCTCTAATTAACATGACCTTGCATTAATGTCCTAAATCTTTCTAGCAGCAGTACACTAAATACACTATTAAAAGCTTTGAGGTACAGGTTAATTTGCTATTTAACTTTGCTGCAAGGTTAAACTTCAAATGCTCTTCTGACCAATTTCCGAAACACTGGTCAGAATATTTTATATATATATTAAAAATAATGTGAAGGTTTGTTTTTAATATTCTCTAGAAACAAAGAGTTATTGGAATAACTCATTAAACTCATACATGTATACAAACACACACTGATATCCTGGATATCAGTGTGTGTTTCCCTGGATATGATAATATTGTGAGAATGATATCAGTATTGCATTTGAGAGTATCCTACAGCTGATGTAAAACAGTAGTCATTATTTGGAATCTAGATGGGTTTGACTGCCGACTTGAAGTAGATGTCATCAGGAATTGGTCAGTCAGAAAAATCCATTCTCCTTCATCCTCTTTATTGGTTCCACAAATAAATATTAAAAATGGGAATGAAAAGTGTTGCTGAGGTGGCAGGAATATCAGTATTTTTGAATGGTTCTCTTAAATTGTACAGCTTGTTTGCACACATCCAGCCATGAATCAAAACTCTGAAATGTGTATTTCCCAACACAAAGTCAATTTATGTGTTTTATGAATGAGGTGCATTATGGAAATGTGCACACAAAAATCACATTTATCATCATTCTACACATATCTGTCAACATCTATGACAGCCATTATACACAGTAGCAATAAATATTTAACAATATCAAGAATATAGTGGTAAAGTGCAGGTACCAATCATGGTAATTCCTATATCATGTCCAAAAAGAGTAAAAAGAAAATAACTGGAGTGTCCAAAAATTCAGGCAGACTTATCTATGTCATTTGAAACTTTACCAGGGGCACTGTTTTGTAAAAGGTATCCATGTTCATTGCCTATTCAAAACCAAGCTGTCTCAAAATACTCAGCATTATGATAGAAACAATTCACAATAGTATATTCTTCCTGGGAAAATCCATTCTCAGGCCAAAATAGTAGGTATGTTGAGAGAAAGGATAGGGTTACCCCATCCATTGATGTCTTCATCCCTGCTAATCAAAATGTTTTCTACTAGTCAAAAAGTCCTCCAATAATTAAATCTCCACAAAACAAGCCTAAGATTCCCATATTTACACAAATGCAGCTCCTCTTTATATTAATTTTATATCATTTGCCATTAATTTTAATGGAACTGAAGATCCTTAATTTCCATAGAAGGAACTCTCCTTAT